TGGACACGAGGCAGGGACCCCCGCCCAGGCTCGCCTCGGCTCGGCTCTCTCCTCCCTCCCGCGGCACGTACCTGGCAAAGTCCGTCCAGAGCGCTCACTTGCATGGAGACTTTTTGCCTCCGCGGGCCTTGGCGGGGAGACTGCAGCGCCTGAGCCCGAGTCCTGAGCCAAGGGGCCAGCGTTAGCCGGGTTTCCCCCTCCGCAGCCGCCGCCAGCAACAAGTTCCAGGCTGGGGGGGAGGAAGCAACGTAATCACGCCCGGCAAGTTAATGCAGCGCGGCTGTGGCGAGGAGCAGAGCGGGCGGCGGGCTGGCCCCTGTCAGGAGGGAGTCGTGCCGCTGCCCATGCCGCCGGGCTGCTGCGGGGCTGCAGATGGACGCGAACTGGGTGGGGAAGAGGCGCTGGGGAGGCAGAGGGCACCGCGGGGCTTCTCTCTCCTGCCCCTCCAGTGGGTGGGCCATGCCTCGCCGCGCGGGGACAGGAGCTGCGGCGTCAGGTTCTTATGTTCCAGGCGGCTTCTTCTCCTTTCCGCTCCTACAAATGCCCCCGAAGGAAGCAGCCGGGAGAGGTGACATCGATCCGCGGGAGGAACAAAGAGAATTGCAAACCGCTACACGCCGGATTGCGGTGCCGGCGGGGACGCGGGTGTGTGTGCGTGTCCGTGTGCTCAGTCCTTGGCGGCGTGGTTAGTTGCCCGCTGCCTAGGGCGGAGGTCAGGCTCTGGATACGGCTTCGAAGAAGCGATTAGGGAGATCTCTGTGAAGTGCTAGTTCTCTGTAACAAAGGGGGAAAATGAGTTGCTTAAAGTAAAAAGGCAAAAAATCAAATGTCAGGCTGGAAATGAAGTATTGCGAGACTTTTTAATTGCAGCGTCCTTCCTCTTTCTAGTTCCCATCGCATCCCTTCTCCAAATTGCTTTTCCAGCCTTCAAGAAAGGCGGTCGGGTGGGACGGGTGCTCTGAGCATTTTCATCCTTCTGTCCTTTCTGTTCCCTTTTAAAACAATCCCTCCTTTTCCCATCACTAGGTGGCGTGTGGATGACAAGAAGTTAATTCCTCAGCTCTCCTAAAACTGTCCTTTTGCAGAGATCGAGGGAGAGAAGCAATCTGCCTGAGCCCAACTAATTGTTCCTTTTAGAAGATCGAAGTAGAACCAAAATTAAAGAAAGAAAGAAAGAAAGAAAGAAAGAAAGAAAGAAAGAAAGAAAGAGAAATTGGGTAAAGAATTGTGTAGTGATTATAAAATGCATCAGATTTTTATTTGGTAATATCTACAGTAATGTTTAAGGGTGTATTTAAAAAAATAGATTGTAAATTTAGGCAAATTCTGCCTAGATGAGTAAAAAGTACAGAGGTTAGTGATATAAATCCCCAGTTTTAAAATGCTGTTTTACTAGTATCTGGTAAGCAAAATGAAATTGTTAAAATACTGAAAACAATCAGTCTTTTTCACTGAACTTGCAAAAAGCTCTCTCTGCTTCACTAATGTTTGATTTGACATAGTAATAACATAGAGAACTACAAATCTATCCTATAGTAATTTTCTTCCTTCAGTTTTTTGCAGTTTTAGCAAATTCTTTCATCCTTGTATCTCTGGACTCAATCTTAGAAGTCTGACTTATAAGAAGAGACAAATCACTGCATCTGGCAAATCATTGAAAACTAGGAAGTATAGCAAAGTCTAAAACTGTACTTTTAAGTGGACTTGGATGTTATTAAAATAGTAGGGTTGACTTTTAACACACACAACTATATTTTTGGTGGATTTCTATTGAGTGACAGTGCTCTAGCAAGAAAAAACATCTGTACTTCCAATGAGATTTTTCTAAAAAGTGAGTTATCTATATAAATTAAAGAGGTAAAGATAATGAAGAATACAATCCATCCAATTTCTGAATTAGGAGAACTTTGGATCGGGGCATAATCAAGCATACTAAAATAACGTTAAAGGAAATGGAGCCCTTGCATTATTTTATTAGAAGTGTTATGATTCAAATCTAAATGCTCACAATATTATTCCTCCATTTTTATATTGTTGGAAACATGTAAGCATAAGTAAAGTGCTATTTTTTCTAAAAAAATGACTTTTATTATTGGAGAAAGCTTTAAGAATCTTTATATTTTGCTTTTTAGATTGGCTGTCATTTTAAGTATCTATAAGACAATGCTTTAACACCATATTAATTATAAAAAGGTAGTAAGGGGAAGGAATTTAGTCCCTACTCCTCCGTTTGCCAGAAAATGGGAATGAGTGACACCGAATAGATTTATTTGATGATTACCAGTTTTGTTTATTCCTTCTGGAGCACCTGGCATTGGCCATTGTTGGAAGACGGATTGACCTTTGGTCTGACCCAGTATGGATGTTCTTACATAATGTTATTGATTATTCTTATAAAGAGACTTGCTCTCCAGTTTCCAACAGGTTGGTAAAAATAAATATGTAAGGGGCTTTAAATATCAGGGATACCATTTCCAAATGCTAAATGAAAGGGCTGGTCTCTGACGTAGTGATGTCAAAAGATAGTATGACCACTAACAAAACATCTGATTGATGTTTTCATTAGTTCAGCAGTGAGACATATGATAGTAAGCTCTCCTTCTAACCCCCCTTTTTTTGTGAACAGCCTTTGCCTATAAAGTGATTATCTCTTTTTTGTAATCTTTACGTGTATTTTTGCTTTGGATTTCTATCTATCTATCTATCTATCTATCTATCTATCTATCTATCTATCTATCTATCTATCTATCTATCTATCTATCTATCTATCTATCTATCCATTTTTACAGAATTAAATTGTGCAGTCAGAACTCATTCTCCTGAGCTTCCCCACTTGCATAAATGAGGATAGGTTCCCATAAAGACCTCACTGAAATTTTGACATTGCTTTAAATATGAAACAAGAAATCTATTAAAAGCTGCTAAATTGGAAGACAGCATAGGTCACAATATTTAGATAATTACATCTTGAACTTCCACTTTTTAAGTTCTAAGTTTGAGGTCAAAAGTGATTGAAAGTAATGTCTTTCAGAGAACTCTATGTTAAATGTTTTATGTCTAGTTCCTATGAAATAGGTGTCCAAATTACAGAAACAGTGGTACCTTTCAAACATAGTACCTTCAGAAGAGAAGGTCAGGATTATGCAGGTAAGCACATTATACTCCTTTCTCATTCCAGTATAAAATATATTAAAATATTACTGAGATGCATTTCTAGAGAAGTTTGAACAACAAATTTGTGTTCTACCTGTTCTGTGCACAGAGAATTTTCAGTCTCCAATATAATTAATCCCACACATTTTTGGAAGACTAATTTCATATAAGTATATAATCAGTGTGTTTCCTGAAGTCAAAATCCTCTGTATTATCACTATCAGCTACTGGGAAATTGGCATGATGTGATAGAGGATTATAACTTCAAATAAGAATGAAGCAGGAGAAGCACTAAAGAAACAGAAAATCACCAATAATTGAAATGATGGAAGAAAATGATGTTGGAGACTATAACAATATAATATAAAATAAATTGCTTCTAAACAGTTTTTCAGAATTCTCCTATGAGGTGCCAAGAGGTCTGTATGGATTAAGCAAATTAAAGCCTACAATGCCAAAGAGTTATTGCATTTCCTTGTTCATTTTCTGTAATGCATTCTTGATATATTTAGAGTTTTGAAACCATAAACTTTGTCTGGTACACAGAATCATATAGTCTCTGTATTAATAATTTGGTATTAAGATAATACTCCATCCTTAACTTTCAATATTATGATTTCAGTAATGGAATGATTTAAATCTATATTGTTGGATTTCTTGTGATAAGATTATGGGGCTAGCAGCACCAGTACCTCCTTTCTGATCTCTCTGGCACGCCTTAAGGTGTGGCTTACCTTGAAATGGAGTCTTGTGATTCTTACAGTCTTACACAAGGATTTGCATAATGCCCGGTGTATACCAACTATTTATCACCCTGCAAGGTACCTGCATTTTTCTCCTTCAGGATCTTGTGACAGATGAGACAGACCAATAGCTTTCTTTAATAAAAAGGATTTTTATTTAGCATTTGGATTAAATGTTATATAATCAAAGGATATATATTTTTAAAAACCTATACAGAAAGCAGCCTCATCTAATGTGACTCTTCATTTCAAGCTACATTACATGTGTTTTCATCCTAAATTACAGAAATTGAAGTGATCTGACTTACATTCTCCTAGCCTACTTCTTCACTGCACCATAGTTCGAAATAAGATATGCAATTTGAGCTATGCAAATTGAGTATCTTATTTTGATCTTATTTCAAAATAGCTTATTTCATAATTTGGCACGATCTACATTTTGAAATAAATTGCCCTACAAAATATGCAACCAATGGGACACTAATTTTTATGTTAGGTAGATCAGGTTGGTCATGTGACAAGGGGAATCCATGGGCATTTTTGGAATTGATACTACTGATTCTTTAGGTCCCTTACACTTCATGGAATGATGTTTACAGGGATGTTGGAAGAGCCAGCCTGAAATAATGGGCTTGTTGTGATGATGTGCGTTAGTTATTTCAGGATACTCCAGTATCCCTAAATAGCATTGCAGTGTAGACATAGCCCTAGAAAGCCCAGAGTTTCAGTAGCCACCTTAATCACTATTCACAGTATGACCTACTACTGTTCTTCTCCTTTGCTTGTCTGTGATAAAGAGAGTCCTTTCATCTGGGTCTGTGTTTTTTGTGGTCTCCCTCCCTTCCCCCCAGTGAGCAGGTGCATTCATTAGGGTCTATCCAGAGAATGCCCTTCTAATCTGTTCCATTGATTGGGCAGCTAGACCTATTTAGTCTCAATGAGTTCTAACCACCCACTTCATGACTGTGACTCTCCTTTATGTGAGGGCATTGAAACTATCTGACTTGAAGTAAAGCACATAAATCAAGTTTTGGGAAAAGGATTAAAATTTACTATTTAATATCATAGATACTAACTCTACTGGAAAAAAATAGCCACTATTCACACACACCAGCTGTTTGGCAGTGGGCTGGAAGCACTCTGGTGGGAAGAGGCAAAACAAGGGTTGGGACTCCAGGGAGGAGGCAGAGCAGGGGCAGAAAGAGGCTGAGCCTGAGTAGGGCTTTGGGGAAAAGAGCAGAGCAAGATCTTAGCATGGAGCACCCACCCAGAAAAATGGAAGTTGGCAACTGTGATTAATACAGATAATTATGGTTATATAATCAGCACAATCTGCAATGTTATGACCTTATTAAAATCTAGTTTGTCTTTAGTCTGTGGCCTAGACAGCAAGATCAGCAAAATATTTTGGATTGGACTATCATTTGTATATGGGGGGGGGGCAATAACAGAAAATTATTAAACAGCACACAGGTCACTCCCCAGAGATCTGTGTGGGAAAGATAATCTATATGCATAGATTTCTTACTTTCCATATGGAAAAAAGAATGACTGACTTTTCAGCACTATCCCTGGATCTTGTAAATGGCTTTCTGTGAAATCAGGGGTTGGTGTGTGGTGAGAAGGCATGGCATGGATAAGGAAAAATCCACTACATGCACTGTTTCACCACTAATTCCTCAAGAAGAATACTTGAATACAGCCACAATTAATTTTAAATAGAGCTACTTTCCATATGGAAAAAAGAATGACTGACTTTTCAGCACTATCCCTGGATCTTGTAAATGGCTTTCTGTGAAATCAGGGGTTGGTGTGTGGTGAGAAGGCATGGCATGGATAAGGAAAAATCCACTACATGCACTGTTTCACCACTAATTCCTCAAGAAGAATACTTGAATACAGCCACAATTAATTTTAAATAGAGCTATG